ACATGCTGGTAGATATAAATAATAAAACCTCATTTGTGGTCTCAGTCTTAATTTTATAGGGGGTTATACAAACTGAGTTTCAGATGTGTGTGTTGTTATGCATCTCACACACACAGCTATTATAGAACAATTGGCTAATGTAAAAAAAACTTACCAACATTGCCTGCTGTCAAAATTTAAATTATTGTATATTTGCTTCTATGAAACAAATTTTGGACAATAAACTGATTTCAATCATTAATTTTGTATTGATATTCTAGAACATTCTCAAGCATGAATCTTTTTTTATATGGTAAAATGAAAAATAAACACAAAAATATTAACGAAAAGCAAAAAAGATTGTGTTTCCTAATTCAGACCTGAAACACATTCAAACCCATGCAACAGTTTCATGCAGTAGCTATATGTAAAAACTGAAAAGCAGAGGAAAAATTTCTACCAAATGCAGTGCTGGAAATATCTACCTTTAAAAAGACTTAAGATAAAACAAGACTGATGCAATAAGGAGAACAATTCAAATAGAAGTAAGTAGCAATTTGGTAAAAAAGACTATGAAGATTATGCAATAAAACTTGAGTATGATTTGCTAAAAGGTTTGCTATATAAAATGGAATAAAAATTTTTTTAAAAATAAATAAAAAGTAAAAAAATCTACTTTTGTTAATTTGGAGTTTTGTATTTTAAGTTAATAAAGAAAAACAGAACCAAAATAAAATAGAAAGCAGGATGTAACCAAAAGAAAAAAAAAAACAAAATAACCACAAGGAATACAAAATAAAAGAGAAAAATAAAGAATCCAAAGAGAGAGAGAGAAAAAAAAACAGAATCCAAAGAGAGAGAGAGAGAAAAAAAAAACAGAATCCAGAGAGAGAGAGAGAGAAAAAAAAAACAGAATCCAGAGAGAGAGAGAGAGAGAGAGAGAGAGAGAGAAAACAAACAGAATCGAGAGAGAGAGAGAAAAAAAAAACAAACAGAATCCAAAGAGAGAGAGAGAGAGAGAGAGAAAAACAACAGAATCCAAAGAGAGAGAGAGAGAGAGAGAGTAGAGTGAGAGAGAGAGAAAAAAAAACAGAATCTAAAGAGAGAGAGAGAGAGAAAAAAAACAGAATCTAAAGAGAGAGAGAGAGAGAGAAAAAAAAACAGAATCTAAAGAAAAGAGAGAGAGAGAGAGAAAAAAAAACAGAATCTAAAGAGAGAAAAAAAACAGAATCTAAAAGAGAGAGAGAGAGAGAAAAAAAACAGAATCTAAAAAGAGAGAGAGAGAGAGAGAAAAAAAAACAGAATCTAAAGAGAGAGAGAGAGAGAAAAAAAAACAGAATCTAAAAGAGAGAGAGAAAAAAAACAGAATCTAGAGAGAGAGAAAAAAACAGAATCCAAAAGAGAGAGAGAGAAAAAAACAGAATCCAAAGAGAGAGAGAGAGAAAAAAAACAGAATCCAAAGAGAGAGAGAGAGAGAAAAAAAAAACAGAATCCAAAGAGAGAGAGAGAAAAAAAAAACAGAATCCAAAGAGAGAGAGAGAGAGAAAAACACAGAATCCAAAGAGAGAGAGAGAGAGAGAAAAACACAGAATCCAAAGAGAGAGAGAGAGAGAGAGAGAGAGAAACACAGAATCCAAAGAGAGATAGAGAGAGAGAGAGAAAACAGAATCCAAAGAGAGAAAAACAAACAGAATCCAGAGAGAGAGAGAGAGAGAAAAAACAACAGAATCCAAAGAGAGAGAGAGAGAGAGAAAAACAACAGAATCCAAAGAGAGAGAGAGAGAGAAAAACAACAGAATCCAAAGAGAGAGAGAGAGAAAAAACAACAGAATCCAAAGAGAGAGAGAAAAAAAACAACAGAATCCAAAGAGAGAGAGAAAAACAACAGAATCCAAAAGAGAGAGAGAGAGAAAAAAAACAGAATCCAAAGAGAGAGAGAAAAACAACAAAATCCAAAGAGAGAGAGAGAAAAAACAACAGAATCCAAAGAGAGAGAGAGAAAAAACAACAGAATCCAAAGAGAGAGAGAGAAAAAACAACAGAATCCAAAGAGAGAGAGAGAAAAAAACAACAGAATCCAAAGAGAGAGAGAAAAAAAACAACAGAATCCAAAAGAGAGAGAGAGAAAAACAACAGAATCCAAAGAGAGAGAAAAAACAACAAAATCCAAAGAGAGAGAGAAAAAACAACAGAATCAAAAAGAGAGAAAAAAAAAACAACAGAATCCAAAAGAGAGAGAAAAAAACAACAGAATCCAAAGAGAGAGAAAAAAAAAACAGAATCCAAAGAGAGAGAAAAAAAACAACAGAATCCAAAGAGAGAGAAAAAAAAACAACAGAATCCAAAGAGAGAGAAAAAAACAACAGAATCCAAAGAGAGAGAGAAAAAAAACAACAGAATCCAAAGAGAGAGAGAAAAAAAAACAACAGAATCCAAAGAGAGAGAAAAACAACAGAATCCAAAGAGAGAGAAAAAAAAAAACAACAGAATCCAAAGAGAGAGAGAGAAAAAAACAACAGAATCCAAAGAGAGAGAGAGAAAAAAAACAACAGAATCCAAAAGAGAGAGAGAGAAAAACAAACAGAATCCAAAAGAGAGAGAAAAAAAACAACAGAATCCAAAAGAGAGAGAAAAAACAACAGAATCCAAAGAGAGAGAGAAAAAACAACAGAATCCAAAGAGAGAGAGAAAAAAAACAACAGAATCCAAAAGAGAGAGAAAAAACAACAGAATCCAAAAGAGAGAGAGAAAAACAACAGAATCCAAAGAGAGAGAAAAAACAACAGAATCCAAAGAGAGAGAAAAAAACAACAGAATCCAAAGAGAGAGAAAAAACAACAGAATCCAAAGAGAGAGAAAAAACAACAGAATCCAAAGAGAGAGAAAAAACAACAGAATCCAAAGAGAGAGAAAAAACAACAGAATCAGAAAGAGAGAAAAAAACAACAGAATCCAAAGAGAGAGAGAGAAAAACAACAGAATCCAAGAGAGAGAAAAAAAACAACAGAATCCAAAGAGAGAGAAAACAAAAAACAACAGAAGAAAAGAGAGAGAGAAAACAACAGAATCCAAAGAGAGAGAGAGAGAAAACAACAGAATCCAAAGAGAGAGAGAGAAAAACAACAGAATCCAAAAGAGAGAGAGAAAAACAACAGAATCCAAGAGAGAGAGAGAAAAACAACAGAATCCAAAGAGAGAGAGAGAAAAAACAACAAAAATCCAAAAGAGAGAGAGAAAAAACAACAAAATCCAAAGAGAGAGAGAGAAAAACAACAGAATCCAGAGAGAGAGAAAAAACAACAGAATCCAAAGAGAGAGAGAAAAACAACAGAATCCAAAGAGAGAGAAAAAAACAACAGAATCCAAAAGAGAGAGAAAAAAACAACAGAATCCAAAAGAGAGAGAAAAAACAACAGAATCCAAAAGAGAGAGAAAAAAACAACAGAATCCAAAAGAGAGAGAAAAAAAAACAACAGAAGAAAAACAACAGAATCCAAAAGAGAGAAAAACAACAGAATCCAAAGACAGAGAGAAAAAAAACAACAGAATCCAAAGAGAGAGAGAGAGAGAAAAAGGAAAACAGAATCCAAAGAGAGAGAGAGAGAGAAAAAAACAACAGAATCCAAAAGAGAGAAAAAAAACAACAGAATCCAAAAAGAGAGAGAGAAAAAACAACAGAATCCAAAGAGAGAGAGAAAAAAAACAACAGAATCCAAAGAGAGAGAGAGAAAAAAACAACAGAATCCAAAGAGAGAGAGAGAAAAAAAAACAACAGAATCCAAAGAGAGAGAGAGAAAAAAAAAACAACAGAATCAAAAGAGAGAAAAAAAAAACAACAGAATCAAACAGAGAGAGAAAAAAAACAACAGAATCCAAAAGAGAGAGAGAAAAAAACAACAGAATCCAAAGAGAGAGAGAGAGAAAACAACAGAATCCAAAGAGAGAGAGAGAGAGAAAAAACAACAGAATCCAAAGAGAGAGAAAAAAAAAAAATCCAAAGAGAGAGAGAGAAAAAACAACAAAATCCAAAGAGAGAGAGAAAAAAAACAACAAAATCCAAAGAGAGAGAGAGAAAAAACAACAAAAATCCAAAAAGAGAGAGAGAGACAAAAAAAAACAACAAAAGAGAAAGAGAGAGAGAGAGAAAAAAAACAGAATCCAAAAGAAGAGAGAGAAAAACAACAAAAGAAAGAGAGAGAGAGAGAGAGAGGAAAAAACAGAATCAAAAGAGAGAGAGAGAAAAAAAAAGAATAGAATCCAGAGAGAGAGAAAAAAAAAACAGAATCCAAAGAGAGAGAAAAAAAACAACAGAATCCAAAAGAGAGAAAAAAAAAACAACATAATCCAAAGAGAGAGAAAAAAAAAAACAACAGAATCCAAAGAGAGAGAAAAAAAAAACAACAGAATCCAAAGAGAGAGAGAAAAAAAACAACAGAATCCAAAGAGAGAGAGAAAAAAAACAACAGAATCCAAAGAGAGAGAGAAAAAACAACAGAATCCAAAGAGAGAGAGAAAAAAAAACAACAGAATCCAAAGAGAGAGAAAAAAAAACAACAGAATCCAAAGAGAGAGAAAAAAAACAACAGAATCCAAAGAGAGAGAGAAAAAACAACAGAATCAAAGAGAGAGAGAGAAAAAAAACAACAGAATCCAAAGAGAGAGAGAAAAAAACAACAGAATCCAAAGAGAGAGAGAAAAAAACAACAGAATCCAAAGAGAGAGAGAAAAAAACAACAGAATCCAAAGAGAGAGAGAAAAAAACAACAGAATCCAAAGAGAGAGAAAAAAACAACAGAATCCAAGAGAGAGAAAAAAACAACAGAATCCAAAGAGAGAGAGAAAAACAACAGAATCCAAAAAGAGAGAGAGAGAGAGAGGAAAAAAACAGAATCCAAAGAGAGAGAGAGAGAGAAAAACAACAGAATCCAAGAGAGAGAGAAAAAAAAAACAACAGAATCAAAAGAGAGAGAAAAAAAAAAACAACAGAATCAAAGAGAGAGAGAGAGAAAAAAAAACAGAATTCAAAAGAGAGAGAAAAAAAAAACAGAATCAAAAGAGAGAGAGAAAAAAAAAAACAACAGAATCCAAAGAGAGAGAGAAAAAAAAAACAACAGAATTAAAAAGAGAGAGAGAAAAAAAACAACAGAATCCAAAGAGAGAGAGAGAAAAAAAACAACAGAATCCAAAGAGAGAGAGAAAAAAACAACAGAATCCAAAGAGAGAGAGAGAGAGAAAAAACAACAGAATCCAAAGAGAGAGAAAAAAAACAACATAATCCAAAGAGAGAGAAAAAAAACAACAGAATCCAAAGAGAGAGAAAAAAAACAACAGAATCCAAAGAGAGAGAAAAAAAACAACAGAATCCAAAGAGAGAGAAAAAAAACAACAGAATCCAAAGAGAGAGAGAGAGAGAGAGAGAAAAAAAAAACAGAGGCAGATAAAGAGCAGGGGACAAATAAAAGAGAAGAAAAGAACACAAGTAAAACAAAAAACATTTAAAAAAATATAATGAAAACACTTCAAATAATAATTTTGTAAATTTTGCACCAAAATCTAAATGACATTTGTATTCCCAAAAGTTAAAAATACAACATAAAAAAGTGTATTTTTAATGTGTGGATATCACATTTCATATCTTTATAAGGAAGTTCTTTCACTTTGGTGTCTCACCAATTTACGAAAACTTGACAGCTTGCATTTATTTCTGTGATATCCTATCATCAATATAAACCAAACCAAGAAAAAATTTTAAAAAAAAGTTCAGCAACTTAACAGAGTTATCAAATTTGGAATTAATCAGATATTTGGCTTCACCAGTGCAGCAAGAAAAAACAGATGATTTAAATAATTTAGGTATTGACTATTTCTATAGAAAACAATCCTAATAAAATAGTTATCATTAAAAATTTCTATTTTCTTTATAATATATATTATCAGAAAGTTTTGAATAATAAAATATTAATGAGTTACACACTTGCATATATAAATGCATCAATAAACCTTAACAATGATAGAGGAAAAAAAGTTTTTTTACACAACGAAAATTTATTTTTCATAATAAATTTACCTTGAATATTACAGTAAAAAATTCAGATTAAAATTCAGCTGTGACATTACTGATCTCTTTTTATATATAAAAAGGTATCAAAATCAGGCCGAACTCCAATGGATGAAACATGCAATCTGCACTAAGATACTTGCTGCATAGAGAGTTGGTATGTGGCAAGACATAGAGGTCAATGAAAACAAAAAATTCTACAAAGATGCTATCAAAATTTTTTAGTGTTATATGATTAAAACAAATGAACTGGAGGAATACACAGAAATATTGTTCATAGTGATGAGTTATGGTCAATAAAGTCTCTGCAAGTTTTGAAAAGGCCTGATGTCAAAAGTCATTACTACAGAAAAAGTCACATAGCTACTTCTTCTATGTGCCATGTCCCTACAGGACATAGGTGATCATGGCTCTCCACAATTTCTCATTCTTTGTAATCCTTAGTAAAGAGTGTTTTTTTTTTTTACTGTCTCTCCTAATTCCTGTTCTGCTAACCATTTACACAAGCTCATTCGAGAGATTATACACAGTTTTCCTCTATCCCTCTTGCCTTCAATGTCCTGTGAATGTTAAATTTTCTAACCTCTCTTTCCTTATGTATCCTATAAATTTCAACTATCTTTTTCTGATGTGTCCTTTTTGCTTCCATTCTCTCTAAAACTTTATCATTGCTCACATGTTCGGTTCATAGTATTCTCAGCATCTTTCTGTAGAATCACATTTCTGTTGCCTTAAGTCTCTTCATCTCTGATGAAATTGTCCAGCATTCCCTGCCATATCAGAGGACTGATATTACATAACAGTTCAGTGCTCTTTTCTTTGTTTCTAAGGAAATTTTCTTCTTAATACTTTGCTTAGCTTTTGGAAAGCACCTTTTACTATCCCAATGCCCCTTTAGATTTTGGTGCCAGATTTTCAATCTTTTTCAATTGTTGTACTTGTTTGATTTTAGTGTCTCCAATTTGTAATTCACATGCTGGGCTGTTCCTTTTGCTGATAACCATACATTCTGTCTTTGTAAAATTGATGCTTAGTCCTTTATTTTCATTTTCCTTTACTACATCCTGTTGGAGTTCTTGTAGTTTCCTTTCTGTTTGCTATCAACACTTATCTGCATATCTTATGCTTTAAGATTGTGACCATTAATAATGAATCCTAGTAGGACTTTTAATTCTCTCAGGATTGCTTCACTGTAAAGGTTGAACAAGGATGTCTTCTCACAGGTGAGAAGACATCCTTGCCTTACACCCCTTTTTAGTTTTGTGTATTTAATTCATTTTCTATCCTCAGTTTGTTGTCAGTATAGTTCTGAATTATTCTAATATCCTTCCCAAATAAATCAAACTTACATAGCAGTTCAAACAGTTCTTTGTGACACTTTATCAAACACTTTTGCATAACCTATTAAAACATAGCTATACATCCTTTTGTATTTATATTGCTTTTTCTGGAATCATACTGAGCATAAATATCATACTTGTTATTACAGCGTATTTAATGAAACCGCACTGTTCTTTTCCTATTTTGTGTTTAAATCTACAGGTAACAACTAGAATAACCACCCTTCAGTACATAATACGTTACAGGATTTGAGTTTCAGAGCCATCTGAAAATTTACAGATGAATGTATAAGTCTTTTTTATTCTGAAGGGAAACAGCAGCTGTTCTTGTGGTTGCACTCTCTTATTATACATAAGACACACACACACAAAAAGGGTTGCTTTGAAAGTAACATTTCCTATTTTCTTATGTTAGTTCATGATGTTAGCAGTAGAGATTGAACCTTCCTGCCAATAGCCTATAGGTTCTTTTTTGCCTTGTTACAGATAGTAACTGAGCATTTGTCTAACAAAATGGCATCTGAAGTAAAAGTATGCTACTGAATTAATCTATGAGGATAAAATTAAACCCACTGACATTCACTAATACTTGCTGAACATTTACAAAAACCTAACTGGATATGAAATAAACTAGATGTTGATATCAATATGTGTAACAAACCATGTTCTAAGTTGCTCTATACAATTGTCAGCCTACAAAATGAACAGTGCATTGAAAATGCATAGCCAATAGCAATGACTGTGGAAAAATACCATTTTGTAGTTAAAAACTTGTTCTATCCAACACTTATTTTGTGCTCCTGTATCTGTTGTGGTTTCTATAGAAATAAATAAGAAGCAATACTTTCAGAAATCTCTTCCACCATAGGCAGCAAAATTCATTCAAATATGTTTTTGTTATGGTAAGTATTCTCTCTGACAGATGTAGTCTTGTCAAGAGAAGATAACTCTTCCATAGCGATATACCATCTTTGGATATTTGATATCCGAGATACATATTTTTTTCCCCAATTAAATTTGCATTTATCACAATTGTCACTATTTAATTTTCTCAAAACTGGCTCTGTTTTACTTTTGAGCTCTTTTTTACCATGCAAATTAATGTCAATGTCATTCTGATATACAATTATATTTTTAATCCCCTCTAAAACTTTTTTGATGGCAAATTGGAAAATGTGACTATGTTTTTACTCCAAGCAGTAGATGAGTCCATCTTATTAATCCAATAGGGGTGTTCATTGTGGTGACTTCTTGAAATCAGTTTTTATCTGATATGTGGACTTAAAGTCAACTTTAGCAAAGTATTTCATACCAGCAAACTTCTGCCATGCTGTTTCAATGTTTTGCAACAGGAATGAATCTGAACAGATCTGGTGATTCACGCCCACCTTATAATCACCACAAATTCTTAAATCTCCATTGGGTATGTGTATCGTCACAATGGGTGAAGCCCTATTGCTACCACCCTGACTGACTTTTTCTAATATTCCTTGTTCCACCATTTTGTTCAGCATGGTAGCATGTGAACAGGAACTTTTTGGGCTTGAAAATACCTGGGTTGACTATTTTCTTTAAGCTCAATACTTGACTCGTATCTCATTAATCATCCAATATCTGGTTTTACAGACTTCATGGAATTCAGCAGCTTTGATGTATCCACTCTTAATACGTCAATTCCTAAAAAACTGTGGCTTTTGATGTGTTCCACCACTATGATAGTATTATCCCAAATCTATGTTTTGCCTCAATTGTGCATTCAAAGCATCCTAAAATTTTGATGATTGATCCATTGAACTGTTTTAACTGCAGATTACTTTTCTTTAACTTTGGTCTACCCATTCTTTCCCCAAAATTCCTTGGTATCAATGTAAGTCTCCATGCTGCCTCTGAAGGCATTAAATTTTTTTAATCAATTTCAATTGTTGCAAGAACTCTACACATGCTTCCAGATTCATATTATGAACTTGAAACTGCTCTAGAATTTTATGCTTGTATGAGATGTTAAACATTCCTTCAGTCAGTCTTAGCACAATTCAATTAGCTCATCTTTGATAGACATTTGTTCTGAACCCATTCTTTTAAACTCATAATATCTCAACGCTTCTTTCAAACACTGTACATATTGCATAATAGTTTCATCCAGTCTATTTACTTTTGAGAAATTTAGTCCTTTCTGCTATGACTAATCTTTTTTTGGTTGTACACTTGCTTTTATGATGGCAGCAATTTTTTCATAAGCTAATGGGATAGACCATGACGGAGATATTTTTTATGGTCTAACACTTTGCTGAAGCCAAAAACAAATCTGTAACTTCATTTTCTCCTCCACTAGCTTTGGTGTCCTTTAACTTCTTTACTCTTGTTGATGCTATGAAACACCTAAGCCAGGTTTCTACATACTCAGGATCCTCCATTGTGGTTAAGTAACCAATTGGTGACACCATATTGTTATGGTAGGTATTCTCTCTGACAGATGTAGTCTTGTCAAAAGAAGATAACTCTCCCATAAGTATAGCAATACTGATTTTATACTGAACCTAATTTATATATCACTACAGTTTTAGTGAATTAAAGATTTTGTCATTTCAACTTCTTTATTACATTTTTCCACTGTGTATATAAGTTATCACAGATCCCGATCAAATCTACAAAGGAACTTTCCAAATTTTAGGTTTTAGTTATGTTTTTAGTTTAACCAACATTAGTCATTATTAACAATTATATTATCAGTTAAAATAGAGAAAAGTTTTGATTAATTTCATCCTAGCCTATTTTAGAAATGTCCATGTATCTAATGCAAGTGACATCATGTCTAGAATGGTTTGGAATGATATGTAAAGGGTATACATTTTTTTAATTGAAAAATGTTTACTCAGTGTTCTATAACTTGATAGCACCTAAAAACAGATTAAATTTGCAAAGTTTTAAACACATTTTAAAATGCTTTTTCTAATGTGGGCTATTTCTTTTGAATAAGAATAGTTTTAAGCATTTTGAGTCTTTTATAAGGAGTGAGATTTTTTATCTTATCCCAAATCCTATTATGGTCTTGTATGAATTGCACTAACTTTTGATAAGTGACATGTTAACCAGTCAG